ACTTTGGGCAGGAGATTCTTTTTAATAAAAATAGTTAAAAAAAAAAACAACCGTAGTGGCCTTTTGTTACTACACTTATAATAACTGGTTTATATTCTATTAGCATTATATGGGTTATTGTAGCTCAATTAAGACGGCAAGATTTGGCCTTTTTGTGAAAGACCATTCTTTCAATCAACGAGATTGTTTTGAAATAAAATATGCACCAAAAAAGAGACACGACATTTTTTATAGGTCCACAATTTTGTTTACATTGTTACTAATTTTTTAATTTTGACGAAAAATGAGTGCACTTATAATTTTAACATTTAATATTTACGCTTCTAATTACCTAGCACGGTGAGTAAAAACTCGTTTTAACGCTGGAATAAAAACGTTTGAAAAAGTAATGGAAATTTTAAAAAATGTACTTTTTTCTATAAAAAAATTTAAACAAATTTGTACACGTAAATAAATGTAAACAAATTAATAAAAATTAAAATTAAACTTTATCCTGGGAACAATATTTTTAAATACATAATTATTATTACAACTAAACTGTATTATTAAAAAAAAAAAATAAATAAAAATAGCAATACGTTGCAAACACATTTATTATTATATTGTTGATATATTATTAACAATAATACAATTTTATTATCTTCTTTCTTTTGTAATTTTATGTTTATATAAACCCTGGCCTACAATGGGTTATAATGCTTGTTATCGTTTTAACGTTAAATCTGTATCTTTTCTTTTCGGAGAAAACGCTTCCATACTATTGAAACAATGGATCGACACAAATTATAGAACTTTAAGAACTGTATCCAAATTACAATTTTTAAAATTGTGTAAACATAATGGTTTAATACCACCACACTTAGATTGCAACTACGTAAACAATATTAACTTGTTTCATGTAAGATCGAAGAATAAAGTGGAGAGCTCATTACATAAGTTAAAGTATAACATTTTAAACATTGAGATTTTCGATTTACACAGAACAGTAGATTACTTACATAAAAAGATTGGCTTCCTTTCCAACAAATTATCCAACATATTACCAGTATACATTTGGAATGACATTCAGGCGCATTATAATACTCCTTTGTTAAACCTGCAAAGTAGATTAGAGATGTCTAGCAACAAAAAATTTAATTGGCTAGTCCATAAAAGTAAACTTAATCAAATTAAATCATCGAAAGCAATAACAATGTTTTCGATCATTAATAAAAACAACCCTAACGAAGTACAATACACACGTAAAAAACCTCCCAACAATCCACTGAACACTGTAATTGAAACTTTCATCCAACCAGAAGAATTCATAGATGTAACTATTGACCCTTTAAAAAAAACCAATGACAAATGGTTTGTCAATCTCTCTAACATTGTCATCCCTCAGGATGTTACTGGATTGTTGCAGTTGGGAAGTAATTTTTGCCTCCCGAACAGTTTAAACAGAAAGAAGAATATACACGAGTTTATTAAAGATATAGAAGGGAATACTAAACGTAAAAACATTAGCAATCTCTCTCGAATTAGAAATGCAGTTATCCCACAATTACATAATTACTTACATTCTAAACCTATTATTAATAATATCAACATGAAGCTTCTTACTAGCTATAAAATTACCCAGAGGTTTTGTAAAAACAATCCTAATATTATTTTTACACGGGCAGATAAAGGTAATATCACTGTTGCGATGAATAGAGTTGAATACATTTAAAAAACAGAAGATATGTTAAAAGATGATAGTACTTATACAGTGATAAATAAGAACCCCGCAAAACAAATTGAAAACAAATGTAACAATTTACTTAAATTATGGTTCAACAAAAACTACATTTCGAAACAAGATTATTTCAGAATGCATTCCAGTGACGCATTATTACCTAAAGCGTATGCCCTTCCAAAAATTCACAAGCCTAATAATCCGTTCCGACTAATTGTGTCCTCAATTAATACAGCACTTTATTCCTTTGCCAGTTATTTACAAAGGATTATTTCCGACAACATTCCTATAACAAGAAGCCATGTGAACAATAGCTTTGACTTATGTAAGGAGCTCTCTGGTAAGATATTGAGAAACTCAGACATTTTCATATCTTTAGATGCGACTGCTCTTTTTACGAATATTCCTCTAAATCTTGCATTGGAGAGCATCAAAAAAAGATGGCCGGATATTAGTAAAGGCACCAAAATCCCCGAAAAAGAGTTTTTAATGGCCATAGAATTCATATTATCATCTACATATTTCACATTCAACAACGTGACATATAAGCAGACCTTTGGTTCCCCCATGGGCTCTCCGCTGTCCCCGATTATTGCTGACATTGTTATGCAAGATTTGGAGGAATCAATATTAGAATCGTTGGATTTCGAATTATTGTTTTATTTCCGTTACGTTGATGACATAATTTTGCCTGTTCCACGCGACAAAGCACATTACGTTTTAAACAAATTTAATAATTACCACGAAAGACTTAAATTTACCATTGAATTTGAAAAGGATCGTAAGTTAAGCTTTTTGGATTTACAACTACTTGTGATTGATGACACTATTGTCATAGATTGGTATCATAAGGATACATTCTCAGGCAGATACTTATCCTATTATTCGAACCATCCGGAATGCCATAAAATCGGCACAATATACGGTTTAGTCGATAGAGCCATACTTTTATCTCATCCTACGTTCCATTCTAAGAACATTAAATATGTTATCGAATTGTTAATTGCCAATGGTTATCCCTTAAATTTAATTTTCAAACGAATCAACATAAGATTGAATAAATTGTTCAACGGCAAACTTATGAATAGAAATAAAATTGATACAATTGATCCGGATGACAATGATGGAAGAAAAATTATTGTTATACCATTTATCAATAATATTTCGGAAAAAGTATCTCGTTTCTTTAATAAAAACGAACATGTAATTGGTTACAGAGTGCTGAACAAATTAAACAAATTTATTAGAACACATAAAGATGTTTCTGAATTGTGCGTGAATAATAATGTCATCTACAAAATCAATTGTAACAATTGCGATGCCTCTTATGTGGGGCAAACCAAAAGGCAATTAAAAACAAGAATTAATGAACACAGAACCAACTTTAGATTGGATCCATCAAAGCATTCGGTCATAACGGAACATATGCAAAATCTCAACCGTAGTTTCAATTGGAATAATCCTTTAATATTAGATTTCGAGACAAATTATCATAAAAGGCTGATTTCTGAAATGATTCACATAAAGGAACAAAAAAACGGCATTAATTCCAATAAAGATACTGAATTACTTGATGGGTCATATTTTAGTATCTTAAGCGAACTTAGTAACAATTCATAGGGACTTAGTTTTCTTATAGACCGACAGTCTTTATTGTTGGTTGACTGTGTCACGACGTTATTGCCCAGTCGCACGGAGGATTCGAATCAGTACGGTACTTAAATATAGCTCTCGGTGTTTCCACAATTTAGTACGTAGAATCGTTAACCTTTGTTCTTTTTTACTTTTTGACAAATAACTTAATTCACTTCATTACATTACAGTTTTAATTTTATATATTTGACTCCTATTGTGACGAACTGGCTTCGCTGACTGACACGATTGATTTCCATTGTCCACTGAGGAAGTAATCATGGATCCTGTTCGATTTAAAATGAAGAATTTCAAGAGAATGCGCACCGAGATAACTCATGCTGTCAACGGCATTGAGATTCATTGGTTAAATCCATACATAGTTGTAAATTTCGTGCGACTTCATAATATCTAAAGTATTTTTTTTTTTTTTATTGTAAAAATAGTCTGAAGCGTTTATTTTAATGTATATTATGAGGCTGAAGAAGGCACGGTGTGCCGAAACGTTCCTTCAACATTGTTGACAATACATTTGATAAAATCGTTAATTCCAACTAATTTGTTTTCGCTCGTTATTGGCCGATACCCTCCTTATTGTTTATTTTCTTAATTCATAAGCATTACTTTCTCAAACTTCTTATTATTATATCTTTCAAATGTATTTGTACTCGCTGCGATAATGAAATCCGTAGATATTACATATTACATTTATATTACAAGTTATATAGTGCGCTTATTTTTCGTTAAAATGAATAAATCAGTAACATTGTAAAAAAATATTTGTTGAACCTATAAACAACACTTTATTCTTTTTTTGGTGCATATTTTATGTCAAAAACATTTCAATCCGTGTAAAAAATAGTTTTTTTTTGGTCAGCCGATTTCAGCTGCAATGACCCGTATGTACTTTTGGCTGAAGTAAAAATAAGATATAATTCTTATGTCTAATGTCAGAGAAAAAAAATATATATATATACTCTTCAAATGTATGTATGTACATGATTCACGCAAAAACGGATACGATTCCCTATTCTCAAACTATATTTTTCTATGAAAGTCGCAGCAGCTGTTACTGTTAAAAATGAATAGATAGAAAAAAAACGAATAGAAATAAAACCAAAAGAATAAAA